CGCCGCCGGGCCCCGCCAGCGCGCCGCCGCCGCCTCGGCTTTGCAACGCAGCAGCGGAAGTTGCCATGATAATTAAGAAGCACGGTACTTTATTGATACCCGCCTGCCTGGGTGCGGCGCGGCGGGGCTCATTCATGGCAGCGCGGCAGGCCGACGCTGTTCAATGGGAGGTGCCACGGAGTGCCCAAGGAGTGCCATGGTGTGCCAAAGGAGTGCCCAAGGAGTGCCACCGCGGCTGCCAGAGAGGTGCCACGAAAGTGCCTGCGGCCATGTTGGATTCGCCACATGGCATATGGCTGCCTCCTCGACAGTGTGCTGCGATGCGATGGCGGCGCGCAGCAGCACGGGCCACGGCTCTGGACTATGGACGTTCTTCTTCTGAGACGTTCTCCTCTGCACGGTTAAAAATTTCCGTCGTTCGTGAGACCTTGTTGGTAGCTCGGCCTAGCTCCGTCGGCAGCGTGGTTCGGCTGGGAGCTAGTCCCAAAGGGGGCGTCGTATTATCAATTTCATTTCATTGAAGCAACGGCTAATCTTGAGAGCCTTTGGTCTGTGGGCCATTTCGATGGGAAAGCGGAAGAACGGAATTAGTTGACTTACCTCCATGACCTCTTTACAATCTACGGCAGCCGTTCGGTGCTTCAGAAGTACCCGGACTCACCTTGGGAAGTTAAAGTCAGGTGCAAGTTAACATTTTAAGGGGACTACAGGTGCACGCGGATAAGCAATCACAGGGGGAAAAGAGGTCATGGAAGTAGGTTCATACTAAAAGATTATGAACTTTCATTTGTCACAGCTCATGCTTCCCTCGCGAATTTTTTAATTCGCCAAACCTATTTTTTTTTATTGTATCGATGTACGATCGAACAAAGCACCGGAACTTACCAATAATATTTTTCAAAATGAGCGCATACACGGTGGTGAGCGATGTGATAGACAGAGTGGGAGAAAGACGAGACTTTTTTCAAAGAAACCTAATTAGAGAAGGTAGGGAAATCCGCCTGCCAAGGAAACTTGATCAGGAGTTTGTCGGCTGGCATCAAGTCCCACGTCTCTATGCGCCGTGCCACGCCCATCATAGTGTAGACTTTCTTTTTCTGGGCTCGGATCCGGCCGGGTGGGCGGGCTGCGTCGCTGGCTCACCTGGCTCCTCGCCGGTCCCCGACAGAAGGTTCGCGGCCCCCGCGGTCGCTCGGCTCGCGGCCCTGCTGGGCTCCACGGGGACCCTGGGGGCCCTCTAGAGCAAGGCGGAGCAAGGCAATGAAACAGATGGAATGTGGCGGGGCGGGGCGGGGCGGGGCAGGGCGGAGCGGCGCTGGAAGCTAGCGGTAGGGCTTGGCGGGGCGCGGGGCGGCGCGGCGCGGCGGGGTCTGCATCCCGGTGGAATGCTGCGTTGCTGTTGCACCGGCTGGCTGCCGCCGCTGCCGCCTGGCTGGCCGCGCGGCTGCCCCCGGCTGCTGCCTGGCAGCCCCGGTGCCTCTCAGCGCCTCGCCTCCTCCTGCTATCCTCTCCCTCTCTCTCTCTCTCTGGCAGGTGGTCCGGCGCAGTGCGCTGCACGAAGGGCAGCAAGAGAGTGGCGTTGTCGGCCAGAAGAGGAGCTGCCAAAGGTTAACATTCCTCGGGAATCAAATATCGGCGCCGTGTTTGGCGTTAGTCCGCCCGCGGCGGCGCGAGCCGTCGCCCCCAGCGGATCCTGCGGAGCCTGGTGGAGCCTGCGGAGCCGTTACGTTTCGCTTGGATTGAAGCGGCGGAGCGCTGCTGCCAGAGTGTTGTAGTGGAGGCCGGAATGCCGCCGTGGCCCTATCGCTTTGTGGGAGCGCGGGTGTGAGTGCAGAGCACGTCCGCGTCGGCCCTTCGGCCCTTCCCCCTCGGCCAGCACGCCCAGGTTCGCCCCCCGCGTTAATACGGCCTGATGGAACTTAGCAGGGCCCTCGGCGCGCGGTGGGTTGAGGGGGGGG